CCGCTTCAGCGAAAGGTCCTCCAGAGAGAAAGCTTCCAGCTGTGCCGCACTGATTGCGTCAGTGTCTGCCGCAATCCCCTCGCTAGATTCGCTCTCGCAGCGTGCTCGAAGATTCTCCCGCACGGCTGCGATCACGTTCTCCCTGCAATCCTGCCGCATGTTAAGGATAGCTTTCTTTGCTTCCTTTAGCACTTCTTCCGGGTCCGCCGTAGGACAGCTGGTGAGGATGGTAATTGCCACCCTCTCGACCAGAGTGCTCTCCGCCAAAGGCGTGTTGAGGCCCCCATTGCGCTCGAAGTTCCTGCGCCTTTTCAAGACCTGCAATACGTCAGCGTCGAACCCTTCCGGTTCTTCCAGCTCCGCAGCCCCTTCCCTCGTGGCTGCTTCCAAGATTTGTTGTGCATCCCATCCCAGATGTCTGTCCAAGTCGCGAGTAAGTTGCTCCACCATTTCGTCTTCTTCTCCGGAGGGACGTCGCGTAGACTCTTCCTCAATCAGGGTCTCAGCGGGCGGCGTGATTGGTGCCTGCGTCTGCGCTGTAGGTTCCCCGATCACTTCTCCTGCGAGGATGGTAAGAACCATTGGGTTGTCCTCCGCCGCCCAATCCCTAAAGGTGAGCTCTTCCTCCATTCCCAGAGTCTCGCTTTCTTCCGAGAACAGCTTGCGTGGGAGTAGAGAAAGTCGCTCCAACTCGTCCGCGCTGCTTTCCACCGAGCGCAAGTCCTGATCACTTCCGCTGTCTTCCCACGTCATCTTGACCGGGGAGCCCGTAGCTCCGCCCTCCGCGTCCATCTGTGAGTCTGCAGCCAGGGTGCAAGGAGAGTATTCCATCCCCTTGCTAGAGTCGACGTCCCGAGCGACTTCACACAAAGAAACTTGAGGGAGGGCGGGTGGGTATTCAGAATCGGGTGCTGCGTAACTGGGAAGGTCATCGGGGTCGTCCTCGCGCTCCCAGGGCAGGGTTGCAACCGGGTTGCGCGAAAGGGGGTCCACGTTGGAGTGAAGCCTTCCCGGGTAAAGACCACCGTAGACCACCGTAGACCACCGTAAAGTTGAACTCCAGCAGCTTGCAATGCCAGCGCGCCAAGCGTCCAGTAAGACCGGTTTGTTGGTGAAGCCAAACGAGCGGGTTATGGTCAACCCGAACCGTGAAAGTAGGCCCCCCAAAAAGGTAAGAGCGGAACTTGTCAGTGATTGCCCAAACCATGGCCAGCAATTCTCCGTCAGTGACAGAGTAGTTTGCTTCTGCACCGTGAAGTGCGCAAGAGGCAAACGCGACCGGGCGCTCGCGACCTTCTGTGTCAAGTTGGCTGAGGGTCGCGCCAATTCCGAGTTTGCTGTAGTCGGTATCGAGAATGAACGGCTTCGCAAAGTCGGGGCGGGTGAGTGCCTGCGCGTCGTTTAAAGCCTGCTTGAGCAAGCGGAAGCTCTCCATTTGATGTGGCCCCCATTCCCACGGCGCGCCGATCTTGGTGAGATCGTGTAGCGGCTTTGCCAGCTGCGCGAATCGGGGAATGGAAATCCTGTAATACCCCAACATGCCCAGGAAGCTTTTGATCTCCGTGGGATTGATTGGTTTGTACCAATCGCGGATCGCGCGAACCTTCTCTCGGGTGGGTAGGAGTTGGTTATGGCGGATCAGATGACCGAGGTGCTCCGTCTTGCTCGTGCCAAAATGGCACTTGCTTGGGCACAGCTTGAGGTCGATGGCCTCCAGCTTGGTCAGGATGGTGTCGAGTGCAGCCAGATGCTCCGCAAAGTTGTCGGAGTAAAGCAAGGTGTCGTCACGCCAGGTACTACGTTACGCAGGGTTTGGGCCCGCTGATCTCCTCCTGCAAAGTTTGGTCCATGACCATCTGGTACGTGCCCGGAGCTCCTGTCAGTCCAAAAGGCATGCGCAGAAACTCGAACAGCCCCCTGTGCGTGAGGAAAGCAGTCTTCTGGATGTCGTCGGGGTGTAACCGAATCTGCCAGTATCCCGCCTGCGCGTCCAGCGAGGTGAAGTACGTCGCGCGACCCAACTTTGCGAAGATTGAGTCGATGCGCGGCAAGGGATATCGGTTGGGAACTGTCGCCAGATTGATTTTCCTGTAATCGACGCAGAAGCGCCACTTCCCCCCTTTTCTTCGCGCGAGCACAATAGCCGCTGCGTAAGGGCTGCTTGACCTGCGAACCACATTGTAGTCTTCCATAGGCTTCATTTGCCGGTCAATCTCGTCCTTTTCAAAAGGGCTTTGATTGCGGGGACCTTCCCGAATGGGCTTGATCTCTCCCGTGTCAATCCTGTGCGTATACCCCTTAACCAACCCCAAATCCGACGGATCTTTGGAGAAAGCATGGGGGTGTCGCGCGAGGACCGCTAAGAGCTGTGCCCGTTGCTCCGGGTTAAGGTTCTCCGCCACCTGCAATTGTGGCAGGACTGCCTGCCATTGTTCCTCAGGGGAAAGGCGAGGGAGCGGTTTCGCTTCAACCTCTGGGCAGTCTGTCGCCTTGCGCACCTGCGGAAGGCCGAAGCCGAAAATTTCGTCGGACCAATCGCTCTCAAGGCTACCTTCGCGCGCTTCCCCTGCCTCGACCTCCGCTTCAACAAGCAGAATTCAGGCGGTAGCGCGGCGATCAGCCTGGTCGGGACGGGGTGCAGTGTAAC